GACAGAAAGACCAAAAATGACCACAGAGAGAATCAAAACCACCACAAGGAGACACGTGATCACCACAGACCTCCAGATCGAGCTCTGGTTCGCCTTTCAAATCCATACAACAGCCTTTTCAACAACGAACACTCGAGTCCTGCTGGTGACGTGTGTTTTATTGCGTTGACTCGAGTGTTTAAAGTCGTTTCTTGTTGTTTGAAGCACAAAAACCTGCCGACGCGTTTGAGGAAACGTCCGTCCGGCGCGTTGCTCAACTAAATAAGGCAGCGCGCCGGTCGGCAGGAGGAAGGAGGCGCGTGGCAGCGAAGCCTCACACATCCATCAACGTGTGTGTGTGCGTTCTGCAGCAGATGGTGACGGTGCATGAGTCAGTGTGTGTGTGTGTGTGTGTGTGTGTGTGACGTCCAGCTGACATCATGCTAAACCGCCTCCGATGCCAAACGCACACACACACACACACACACACGCGTGGACTCGTATTTATAGCATGTTTCCTGTGTGTGTGTGTGTGTGGTGTTAGTGTGACGACGCCGTGGCTCTGGTGTGTGTCGGCTCGTGTGCACACGTGGGGTGTGTTTGTGCGACGGGATGTCTCACTGTTAGACAGGTGTAGGTCTTTGTGCGTGCTTCCTGTTCGTTGGCGTGTAAAGGTGCAACCTGCCACCGTTAGCACCGATGCACGCCTCCTCCTCGGAGCGTCGTTTGGCTCTATTTAAAGACGAAACCACCAAAAGGGAGAATTTTTAAAAAGCAGCTTTGTGTTCGTGGCAGACGAAGCGACGCCCCGCTGGGACGGCGGCGGCTTCGTTTACGGCGTTATCAGGTTGGAGGTGTTCAGGGCTCTGATTCACCTCCAACCCAGTGTTAGCTCCAGCCCAGCTGACTAGAGGGATAATTAAACATCCTGTTCGTCTGCAGAGAGACAAAGCAGCACACTGTGTGCCGTCAGTACAGCTGGATGTACACAGTTTACAGCAGCGTGCGTTGAACAGGCGGCTGTTAAGCTAAACAGTTTGGATTCACCGTAGTGAAAGCACAGACCCCGCAGTAGGAACTCGGTGCTTCATGAGTCCAAGTCTGCAGAGAGATGCAGCTTCTGGTCGGTTGTGTGGCTCCGCCTTTTTCTTCACACGCTGCTCTTTGGAAACGATTTTGTGCTTTCATGCTGGAACGATCCAGCTTCTGCAGATGCATTTAGTTTTATCCAAAGATAGTCGTGTTGTCGTCTCTAAATGTCGTCCACGTCGTCACGCTGCCGCCTCCCTGCTTCACGGTCAGGACCATACGTTCACATCCTGAGCAGCTTCACAGCAATTATTCACCAAAAACTATCTTGCGTCTTTTTGTCATAATTGTTTGTCTTTCTGAAGCCATTTTGAGGCTTTTGTGGTCATTTTATGGTTGTTTTGCATCTTTTTGGTCTCATCTTGTGCCTCTTTGTGGTTATATTGTGTTTCAGTACCACCTTTAGCACTCATGCAGCCCCACGTCGTCACGCTGCCGCCTCCCGGCTTCACAGTCAGGACCATAAGTTCACTGTGGTCGTCCTGAGCAGCTTCATCTGACTCCATCTGAACCCAACAAACGTATTTTGGTCTCCGAATGTGCTCAAAGCATTCGTTCTTTAGCTGAACCCTGCTGTTCTAAGAGGGTCCAAAACCTGAAGAACAGGTTGGAGACGAGGCACCAGCTCTCAGGTGGCTTTGGCTGGAATCGGCTGAGCCAGGATGACCCGTACCTTTCCTGAGATCTTTCTAACAAAGACGAATATTAAAACACCGCAAATGAGTTTAAGACCCAGAAGAGTTATCAGACAGCCTCATTTAAAGTTTCTTACTGCATAGCAGCATTCAGTTTAATTGATGTTTTTCCACATTTTCCTCCACAGAGCCGAGCTTCACCCTGAACCTCAAAGCCTCCCAGAACCCCCAGATGACGGCCGAGCCCACGGAGCTGGCCTGTCACGTGACCAACATCACCCAGTTGCCTCCCGGAGGCCGACTGGGCATCAGCTGGGAGCACACGCCGCTTCCTGGTACGTTTCCCTCCGCGGGATTACGTGAAGCCTACAAAGTGCCGTGACACCTCTTGCAGATTGTTCAATTTGTCTAAATCCCCCAACAGGCATCGGGGACGATCCTCAGACCTCGCACACAATCGCCTCCTTGGACGGCAACGGGAACCTGTCGCCGGGCTCGATGTACGCCGAGAGGCTGAAGAGCGGCGTGTTGTCCCTGAGCAGAGTCCAGCCGAACACCTTCAAGCTGAGATTCCTCCGCACACAGGTAGCAAAAAACTTCCACAGGTGTCAGAAACGTTGGACTAACCTTTGGCTGAATGTGTGTGACGAATGTGTCGGTCACGTCTTACTGAGTCGTTCTCGCCCTGCAGGAGATCGACATGGGCCAGTATGTCTGCAACGTTTCTTCCTGGAGCGTTAACAGCCAGGGAGTCCTGCTGAGGACGGCGGTACACGAAAGCTCGCCGCTGACTGTTCGATGGGACACCAAACGTAAGAAAGACTCACTGCAACGACTCATCTGTTGAGATATCTTGGATTATTGATTGACTCACGTTTGCGTTGATGTTCGGGCTTCTGTCAAATCAGAATTTTGCAGGTTGCATCACGCAAAAAGAAAAAAAAATGGAATCAACATTTTCCAAGAGCCTACTGGTGTTACCAACACTGGACATAGTTTGTTTTCATACCTGTCGGGATTTTTGCCACGTGACCGTCTGTCACCGTTAAGTCACTGATGACTTCACGGTTGCGTCCTGAAGCGCACAATTTTTTGTTTTTTACAGATCCTGGTTTGTGCAAACACACTATTTTTTGGCATTTTTTTAATAAATAGATTTTGATTAAATATCCAAAGCTTCCTGAGGAAATGGCCCGTTACAGATGAGTCGTTCTTACAGATCTCGACCTGATAAATGGTTTAATTATCCAGTTTTTATAAAAGATAACATGCCTTTCAAACCCTGTGGTGGGTTTTGGAATTCAGAGGGTTAAAGTTGAAGAGACTTCAGGAAAACCCAAACAGAAACTGTGGCCCAGTTCTGCTTTTAGACGTTACTGTCTCTGCCTCCTGTTCAGCTCAAGGACTTTACGATGTGTCACATGCAGATAGAAACGCTGCTTTCGTTCAGTTCAGAGACGCAGGCCAAGAAGTGAGTGTTCTGTCTGTGCTACGGGGAAATCAACATTATCGGCTGATGAGGTACTTAATGAGGTATTTTTGGAAGAAACGCAGAAAATCTGAGCCATTAACTCACATTCAGAAAGCTGTCGGCCAGCCAGAGTCGCCCCGCTGTCGAGTTGTATGAATGCGCTCTAATGTGCAGATATCATTTCCAGACTTCACAGAAGAATCCCTCGACAACAGACCTCTTGTTGTCTCAGCTTCCTATTCACAGTGCACAGACACTTCTCCTCTATTTCAGTCCCACATGTTGAACTTGCTGACCTCAATTTAGCTAATTGAGCCGTGATGTAACCGCAACGCTGCGAGGCTGCTTTGAATCGGAAGAATCACTTATCGCTGTTGGCCTCCGTTGGGGTTCCCCTCCTCCTCCGAGTCTGCCTCACCGGATGTAGACTGGAGGTAGAAGTCTGCCATTGGTCGCTCATCTCAGGTGGTTTTTTTCCTGCAGCAACCTACAAGCAGCAACATGCACTGAAAATGGAAAGTTTGGTGAAGAAAAGGGCCACCATGTCCAAGACTTCTGGGGTGGTTAAGGGTTTGTGGCTGGAAAGAGTCGAGGTCTTCAAGGATGGTGTTCTTATTGCTTATTGATTCACAAGGTAGACAAGGACAGATGGTGTTAGAAAGCCATGGTTTTGGTTTGGAATGTTGTTGACCAATTATTGATCAATTTATTGCTGTAAATAATTTAACCGATTCCAGAGGAGGCGTCGCTCAGACTTTGGACAGTTAAGTGTTGACAATCAGAGAGTATTGAGGGCTTGTAAAGGGCCACCATGACCAAGACTTCTGGGATGGTTTCCAACTAGAGCTGAGAAACAAGACAATCCTATATTTGTGTTATTGATTTACACCCCTGGCTTTGGTGGTGTTGGTAGCGTAGAAGGAAGAGGTGAAAGTCCAATGGTCCATCGGTAGCTGCAGTATTTCGTTATATACTGATCTCCTGAACTATTCAAACACTTTGAGATTAATCGGTGGGTATTGTTGTGGCCGAAGTACCTACCGCGGTAATGTTCTGCAGACCAGAGCTGAAGTATAAGCCGGCTTTACCTGGTGGACACCGACTATCAAACTATGTTTTATTGGTTAAAGGCTTGTCACAAAGTCAACCAACATCTTTTCTGTTTTTTGGGCCTTTTTTCTTTCAACCATTACATTTGCAATCCCCAAGACGACTGTGGTTGGTTTGTGGAAACCCAAACGAGCCAATGAGGTGCCTGAACGACTTCTGTCCTAAAGGTGATTTATTGAATTTCTACTTCCAGGTCCGTCTCTGAACGTTGTGGCCAAACGCATCCGCGAGGCCTCAGTGGGCGGAGCTACCTTTGAGATGAGCTGCTCCGTCGCCACGGAGAACGTGGGGGACGCGGGCTACTCGGTGCTCATCCAATCACAGGACAGCTTGGACAGCAACGTGAGAACCATCATGACTCTGAGCCCCGACAACGTGATGCAGCACGGAGGCGCCACGGACCCCAACAGAAGGTACTGACCCGGTCGGGAGGCATGCCAACACTTCACTAGTACGGTGTTTGGAAAGGTTCATCCTTCTCTTTGTGTTCACTCAGAGACAGTCTGGTTCTGACCAAGTCCGGCCCGGCGGAGTTCCGGTTTCGCCTGGCGGGCGTCCAGCTGTCTGACAGAGGTTTCTACTGGTGCGACATCACGGCGTGGACCAAACAGCAGCCGGGACAGACCTGGACCAGAGCCACCAGCTCCGAGTCCAACAAGGTCAGGATCGACTTCCAGGAGAACGGTGAGTCCACAAGTTTCCCGCCAAACATTTCACCTCCACTAGTGACCCGGACACGACACCGACTCGCCTCTGAAATATAGAAGAGTCCAGTCATGGTGGTTGTCTCGTTGTTCGCCCCGATAAAAGCCAATCGTGTTGAAAAGCAGAAATACACAAAACAAATACTGTCAAATATTTATTTAACAGAAATGTCGTAAATGTTGGAAGAAAAACCTTTTGTGGCTTCACATGAGTGTCGATCATTTAGTGCAGCCGAATACTTCCTGTGTTTTGGTCACATGACTGTTCATCTGAGGCACGAATGGGTTCTTGGTTGCAAACGGTTTATTTCACATGATTAGTTCAAGGACTGTTGGAAAAATCTGATTCTTTCTGTTCTTATGGTTTCTGGCTCTGCTTAATGGTGTCGTTTTGGCCATTTATGAGGCCTTTTATACGTGTTTAAATGTGAGATTAAACGTCCAAACATCAGTTTTTTAATCTTACATCGGCTGAATATGATACAATAATGATAATAATAGTAGATAATACTTACATCGCGCTTTTCAGGGCGCTCAGAGACGCTTAACAAAGTAGGTCGCAACTAAACAAACAAAAATAATAAGTAAGCAAATGAAACATAAGCGAGCATATCAGCTTCTATTTATTTAAGTTGTCCGACCGTAGCGTTTGTCGCATGTGATGCATTCAAGGACCGTCAGAAAGCTGACAATCCGCCTGTTCATGTGGCTTTTACCGTTTCTGGCTCTGATACAGCTCACTTCCATGTTGTTCCTCACGCAGGACTTTATTTAAAAGATGCTCGTTTAGTCAAAGTCGGCTGCATTTCTAACGTTGAATAAATATTAATCCCTCGTTTAGAATTTCTTGTTCATGAAATCGTTTGTTCACTTTCAACACACAATGAGTCGAGTCCTCACACTTGTCCTGAAGTAATCGTCTATTTATGGAAACGCGTAAGCGGCTCCGTTCACAATAAACACACATCGGCCGCCCACACCAGTGGTTCTAATGACGACACACAACATACGTTCCCTAATAATGTGCAGGAAGAACAGCGCTCACACACCTTAAGCCCTTTGACGCCCACCACAGCCTCTGGCCTACTTAACTTTCTTTGATCTGGCTGCGAAGTGGGAGACGGAAGGAGAAGCAGGAGAAACCTCAGAGAGGAGAGGAGGAGGAGGAGGAGGACGAAGAGAGGGAGTGGAAAGGTGAGGAGAGAGAGAGGAAGGGTTAAAGCAGAGGACGGAGAAGGAAAGAACAGGAAGACAGACGATGAAACGAAGGGAGGAGGAAGACATCGGAGTTTACCATCAGGATCGGAGCTTTCCACACATACATGTCATTATTAGCATGTGTAACCACAATCTGCAGTATAAACAGAAGAGGAAAGAAAAACAGTGACTCTACTTATAAAAGATGTTTCACTGCTCACACCGCCTGCAGTTCAACCGAAAACTCAATGAATTGTTGTCATTAGACCGTCTGTCACAGCTGAAAAGCTTCTCGGTTGCGTAGAAAAGCACAGAATTTTGTAATTTTTTTAGAATCTGCTGAGAGCAAAAAGTTTATTTTTGGTGAATTTATAAATGAAACAAAAGCGATTATGATATAATATGGTTTTAGATTTGGCTAATTTACCCAAAGTCATACACGATCAGTTGAAGGGCCGTCGCATAGTTCAAAATCACGTTATTCTCTTTTTACAATTCCACTAAATCGTCGCCGTCTGTGCACAGAAGAGTGCAAAGAATCTGGTTGAAGCGAAAAACACAGCCTGCAGTTCAACCCGAAAGTCGTTTTAAGACACGATATAATTTAGTAATCCTCGATGGAAATTCTTGTGCGAGAAATTTCTCAGAAAAACTCATTAACAGCTTCTTGGTTGCAGCAAAAAGCACAAAGAAGATTCACCGTTTGTTGATTTTTCACTGCAACATGACGTCCTGCAGCTCTATGGAAGCAGAAAAAACAGAATAAAATGATAAACACAGCCTGCAGTTCAACCGAAAAATAGACTTTTGACTCGTTAAGTCATCGTTAATATCAGACAGAACTCATTTGCATATTAAATTTCTGTGCCAATAGACTCGTAGCGTCTCTGTTGCGGTAAATCGTGGTGAATTTTTTTTGCAGAATCTGTTTTTTTAAAGTAATTTCGATTAAATGTCACAATTTCAGGCTTCAGTTTGTTCAGGTTTACACACATCACAACCATTCTTGGTGGTAAACGGTGTTCCGGGCCTTTTCTTCGGGGTTCAGGAGTGAACTAGCGGTTCCTGAACATGGACGCTCGCTGCTCATCACGTCTTAGAACAGGATGCAGCAGCGTTAGAAAGAAAACGGCGGCCAAGTGGAGGAGAAGCAGGAGATTAGCTGATGAGTGCGTCTCCGGGGAGGGCTGAGCGTTACTCCCTCTCTCCCTCCGTCACTCACCGGTTCCCCTCCACCGTCGGCTGCCTCCCGCCCCTCCATCCCCCCTCTCTCTGGGACATCTTCAAAGTGAAGCCCTTCGGCCGATCAGCCAGCTGCAGAGACGTGCACCGCCGCCTCCCTCCTCCTCCTCCTCCGCTGTTCATGTGGATGTAATCTTTCAAGTGTTGGAGCGTGTGCGTCCGACTCGAACATTTGGACTTGACCCCGCGTAGAACAACACACACACCAACCAGCCGACACACACACACACACACACACACACACCGGCGGTTTTCGAGCCCTTCGACTCGCCTTCGGGGACGGAAGCTCTCCGCATGTGTGAGTTGCATCCGCGAGCTGGCAAGCGTCCCGATGTTCCAGCTGTATCTTGAATGTTTCAGACGTGTCGAGGCGTTTTCTGGCTGCACGGGGACGTTCTGCGAGGACCTATATGGAGATCCGGAGTCTCACCAGCACATTTACTATTAAATATTCAGTGTTTAAGTGATTTTTGCGGTGGGGTGGCAACATAAATATGGAGTGGCCACCGGCAAAAAGGGAGAAAAATCGTTTTTCTTTAGAGTAGAGTGAAGCCGGCCTGCCTGCGTGCTACACAGAGTCCTCCTTTTTTTAATATTTAACCCTCTTAACCCTGAAACCAGCCGGCAGCTTTGAAAAACACCAGCATCATAGCAGGAAACGGTAAAGATGGAAAACAGTGACGCTGAAGATAAAAATCCATCAAAATATCAAATAAAAGTGAATCGGAAGAAGTGAAACGCCAATTTACACCATTCATCAGAGACAATAGTGTGATTCTTAGCTGTGCAACGGCCCTTAAACTAATCATGTAAAATGGAAAATGAGCCAAAACCTAAAACCACATTATATCCTAATCGCTTTAATCTGCGTCTTTCAATTATAAATTCACCAAAAATAACGTTTTTGCTCTCAGCAGATTCTGAAAAAATAAAAAAAATTCTGTGCTTTTCTACGCAGCCGAGAAGCTTTTAGTAACTCGGCTGTGACCGACGGTCTAATGACAACAATTCATTGAGTTTTCGGCTGAACTGCAGGCGGTGTTCAGTGGCGCAGAAGAAAATAAAATCTAAGAAGTAAAATATTTGTCGCTGTTTGTCCTGTGTTGGTAGGAACTCTGAAAATGTCCAACATCCCATTTTCCCCCCTAATTGTGTTTAAATGAAAAATCAAAGACATTTAACTTTTGAACTTTATGATTTTTGTGTGAAGCGAGAGAGTTTTGGTCTTGCGATGCTTCAAAGGTACCAAACGTGATCGAGAAGTTCCCAAGACGACATGATTACGTTCGTTCCTCTCTTGAAAACGCTTCTACGACGAGATGTGAAGACAAGAACGGAGTGAAAACAGAATCACGAGCGTTTCTCCTCGTGTAAACGCTGTGAAGCTGTGATCCTGTTAAACATAAGAGAAGCCCGATTCGCTCACTCACAGCTCACCGGGACCAAAATAACATGATTTCTATCCGTCCGCGTCGTGTTCATGGAGCTCCAGCGCTTCCGTTGTACAGTATTCACACGTGACGGCATGAGTAACGCGGCCTTCCGAGGGAAAACTGTCAGAACATCTTAACCGTTATGAGATATGGCTGGAAAGTCTCCGTGCGCCGGATCGCGGCTCCGCGGCCGCTCTCGGCTGTTTGTTCACACTTGATCAAATTAGCTGGATCTCATGAGTTTGTGCGTCAGAGTTCGTGCTCTGCAGACGGCTCGGCTCTGAACTCTTAAACTAAATGCGCCGCCGGCTTGCCGGTCCGAGGATGGCGGCTGGTTCGCCTGACGCGGGACTGAGTGACGCTCCGAGGGTCGTGAAGACATTCACTCCAACGTTAATGACGATTTCTGTTCGTCAAACATCTGGCGACCTGTGTGACGTTTTGTGTGCCAAGTTTGACGAAGAAAACTCAGAATATAACTCACAGAATCTGCCTTTTTTCCATTAAATGTTCAAGATCCCTCAAACTGCACATTTATCAGAGCCAGACGCTGTGAAAACATAAAGAATTAATGGATTTTGAACTTTCCAACGGTCTTCGAACTACTCATCTGGCACCCATCAGAAAGCAAATCTAAGCATACAACAGTAATCAGCATGTTTGTTTAATAAGAGATCACCAAACTTCCACAGTTCATCACGGCAAGAAACTGTAAAAACAAGAGGAAGTGTCAGATTTTCAACTTTCCCGAGAACAAGAAACGAGGCGTGTTTTACATTAAGATCATGTTTTATTCATCAAAATCCCTTTGTTCTACATGTTTGGTTAAAAATTCAGAAAAAAAAACAAGAATTCTTCTCCCCTGTTCTCCATGTTTGGGTTGAACTGTGGGCAGCGTTCACTCTGATTTATGGCATTAAATCCGTTTTTTGATTCCCTCTCCTTCTGGTCGTGGTGGTTCTGGTTCCGTAGAGCTGCAGGACTTTGTGTTGAGGTGAGGAAACATGCGACGGGACACTTCAGAGGGTTAAAGTAGCACGTTAAAGACTTGTGTTTGGTTCTGGTTGCTGCCGCCGATGGAGACGAGCAGCCAGATCAGAACGGCGTCACCTGTGTGACATCATCGGTCGGATGGACCACGCCTCCACAGCAAACACCTGAGCTGCTTTGTCCTACTTTGCCTGGAAGAGCCGGTCTCCGTCAGTCATCGTGCTGCTTGATTTCACAACACCGACCATAATCCCATCCAAGGTGATGCAGCTCTGAGATTAAAAGATCGTTTGTGGGGATTGTTTTTTCTCACGGTGTGTCAAAAAGCTGCTTTTGTTTTTTTTTTGGTGAATTGATCCAAACCGAAGGGCGTCGGTCAGACCGCCGTAGATACCGTCTGGTTGACTCAAACAGAGGCCTTCTGGGCGACCTTCTTTGTGACGATGAAAATCACAACTGTAACGGGTCCATGGGGGACGTCTTTGGACACGAGGGGTCGATTCCCAACATCGATGGACGTCCAACGAGACGCTCCCCAGTAGATGATCTCCAGGTTCTCTTCAGGAGGAGTCCAATACCCCTCCATCCATGCAACACCTGCTTGGACTCCTGGATGCTGGATCTCAAACCGGCTTTCTTTTTCAAAAACGGTCACCAAACTGGTTTCTGGAAACATTTTAGAAAATCTGCTGCTTCATTTTAGAAGTTTCTTGGAGTTTTTGGTTGATTTGCATAAAGTTGCATCGACCCACACACTTTAGTTTCCACCAATGCGACGCCCCGACTCTTGAAATCCATCACGATGCTTTTGTAGATGATGACTCTGACTTTGCTCCTCCCTCCTGCCTGAAGTTGCTCTCCTATCTATGCTACAACACTTTCGTCAAGTAAAGAACGGGCAGCTTCCGTCGTTATTTTTGTTATCTTTACATTTGTCAGGCCGGCCGACCAATCAGAGCGGACTGAGGTAAACCAAAGCGTGAGGAGAGCTGCTGAAGCAACGTTCCAGTGGCCTCCAAACACACGATGTTAAACCTGTGAACGTGCAGATTAATGTCATTTACTGAGTCCGCTTCACACCGTGCAGAACTCTCCGGGCTTCGGTGTCGTGGATCGTGTCGCCTCGAGGGGCTGCTGGCAGCGTTTTAGACCTTAAATCCTGTTACAGACCGCGAAAGCGAATCCGTCTGAAGCCGTCCAACGTGGAGGCTGCGAGCGAGCTGTCGGGTGGAGTTCTGCAGGAAACGGAGAAACGGTGTTTAGCTTATCAGCGACGGACCGACGCTGAAGCAGCAGACTGGCTGGGATTGAAGCAAGAGGAAGACGTCTTTTAACCCTCTGAAGCCCGAGCAGTTGTAGCACTTCTGTCCTCACTGTGGCTCATTTTTCACTGCAAGATAAAGTGGAGAGAAATCAAACATGTGCAGCATGACGCTGTTAAAATAGAACAGATTTTGGATTTTTCTCATTTATGAAAAACAGGAATCGACTCGTACAACATGTTTCCAAGTGCTGCCGACTCTGGATAAAAGATGTTGTTGACAGTTTTACTTTGGTTCCATACTTGTTTCCTTCACTTCCTGCGGTTCAGCCTAGAAGACCCCGAGTCTTGACTGGCTTCACGGTCGAGCCGAGAAGCGCAAAAATGTTCAGTTTCCTGCAGAATCTGGTCACTTCAAACGGTGTCTTTTGGGCGAATCTTAAGACGAAGGCTGGAGAAGCCAGTGTTCTGGGTTTAATATAGAATTTGGTTAAACTCTGTATATGTTGAATAAATGGTGTCGTTTTGAGTTCTGCAGGTTTTAGAACTCAGAGGGTTAAAGCTGGTTCTGTTCTGATAAATGTCTCGACTTCTCCAGTTTTCGTCACAAAGCTACTGGTCGTAGCTCGACGGGTGAACAGAATGTTCTGTTTTCTGCAGGATGTGGTTCGAGAAAACGCTTGTGTCACGTTTTTTAATAAAATGTGTAGAACAAAGTGGTTCTGATGAAGTTTTAACCTCGGATTTGGTTCTTTTTCCCAACGGAGCAGACGAGTAGTTCAGGGACCATCAGAAAGTCAGAAATCCAACAATCCTGTCTGTTTTCTGCAGAACTTTCTCGCATTTTTAGATTTAAGTGACTTTAACCCTGCTGGTGGGTTTCAGGCTTTAAAAGGTTTATAAATGATCGCTGAATTAAAAGCTTCAGCTCAACACCGACCTCAGTCTGTTGGAGCGTGACGCCTACGAGGGCGTAAAGAGAACTTGGATGAAAATCTTTACCGATGTCATTTGATGGTTTCCCAATCATCGGAGGTGGTCCGACTCCGGGTTCTGTTTTATCTCCAGTCCCTCTGGTTCCTCTGAACGCCGGAGAAATCAGCGTTTACCGTCTGACGTTATGGCATCTGTCGGTTTAAACGCAGGAAAATCTCCGTTTGTTGTCTCTGTCACGTTGTTTGTTTTGTGTTTTTTAACCGTTTGCGATGATGTCGCTGTCTTTGCAGGCCCGTCCTTCTCCATCGCCATCCAATCGGACGCCAGCAGCGTGTATCCGTGGGAAACGGCCAAGATGGAGTGTTCGCTGAGCGTCTCCGGATCCTCCCCTAAGACCGGTACGGCACACATTCACGCTTAGACTCTCCGGCACAGGGAGACGCTAGAGATCCAACGTGTTCTTTAACATTTTAACTTATTTTGGTTTGTTGCGATTTTACGGAGGAGAAATAAAAAAGCAAACGAGAGCCTGAAAAAAACTGCGGGAGTTTTGAGCTCTCAGGCCTTAATTAGCTCGTTAGAGGCTTTGGCTTGTTCACAATCGCCGTTAGAAAAGGCTTCAAAGCTTTCTAAACCTCCAAACCGTGTTCCAACAATCCGTCGGCTAATGGAAGCAGCAGGAGGAGGGTTGAAGACGAAGAGTTTCCAGGTCGCGGTTTCCTCGGTTCGTATTCGCTCCCAGCAGCAGTTTTTTAAAATGTCATTTCTTTGCTCTTTGCTCTCGTTTTTCTTCACTGTGGCTCATTTTTTACTGCAATATAAAGTCCTGACTTGTGTGGAAACCGAACGTGAAGACCTCTCTCTAACGGCTGATCACGAGTCAGCATTAATATCAGACGAGACTTTGTTAATTAGCGTATTACATATCGATGATTTAAAAACAAATTACATGAAGACTTTTCGGTTGCGGTAAATAGTTACAACGGCAGTAATTAATGAACACTGGTACGCCGTCACTCATACAGATCAATGCATGTAATTGTTTTACTGCTTGTATTTTAAATTTGTTCACAGAAATTTGTTGTCATGTGACTTTGGTTTAACAGTTTGTTTTTTTTAAATTACAACTCAAAGAGATTTTTGGTGAGATTTGAGCATTTTGAAGCTTCGATTGGTCGACATTTTCCAGCAGAGCCGGACGCTGCAGACGGACTCATTCAGGAACCGTCGCAAAGTTTTTACAGTTTGTGGCTTTTTAAAGACGATGTGCTTTCTATAGTCGGGGTTCAGAACCGTCAGAGAGAGGTGGTCGTATGATTCTACTGTCTGAAGCTTACTGATAGACCTGAACAAGCCTTCTGGACGCGAGCAGCTCAGTTCTGTCTGGAGGAAAACCGAGGGACGTTTCTCTGGGAGAGCAAAGGATGGATTTAATTAAACGGCAGGATAATGATGCTGCCTCGGGAGGCCGAAGGTTTCGCCCTCGTCGTCCCGCGACTGAAGCGTCTCTGGAAGTCAGTGGTTGGACCTCAGCTGCCACACAGATCTTCTGCTCACGTCACTGCTGCTCCAGAACTTTTGTCGCCACTCGGATGACGACTTTGGGTCCAGCTCTGGCTCGTGTGCGTGAAGACGTTGAGCCGCTTCTCCTCCTCGTTCTCCGGTAATAAACGGACCTAATGTGTGTGTTTTGTTCTTCAGCTGCCAGCCTGTCAGCGCCGCCGCTAATGGGAATGATGTGACTCGTGCATCTCAGACGGTGCTCAGATGAAACGGATCGTCTCAAAACACACACACGCTTCCTTTCGCTTTCCTTTGTGAGCGCCGCGGCTCGAGATGCGGGTTTGTTTGAGCGCCGATAAGGCGTCCGTCTTATCTGGTTCCTCTCACCTCAGACTCGAGGTTCATGTTGCCACATTGTGGGTTCTTTGAAGCAGAGATAAGAACCTGCAGGTAAACAGCAGAACTGGTTTCAGAGCAGACGTCACGGTGGGAACGTCGCTGAACCTTCGTCTGAACCCCACCGTCAGGCCGAAGCGTCGCACTGTGTTTAGAGTGAGGATGCAGATTTCTTAACCATCAATAATCAATTAATCGTTAAATAAATGCAAATCAGCTGATTTTTTTTCTGTATGATGAATTTCAGCCACGAAAACTGGAACTCTGACGTTTCAGTATAAAGTCGTTTTGGGCTCCACGTGGACGGATATTTACAGCAACACAAAGCTATTCTTTAAAGCTCTTTAAAGTCTGACTGAAGCTCTTCGCCGCTGCACAAGATTCACCGCAAATGTTTCACATTTTGCATATAAACAGGATTTTAATGCGACATCAGGTCAGCTCGTGTTTAAAATGTGAATAACGAACATGGTGATAAAATGAGCTGCAGAACTTTGTCCGTTTGGACCTCTGAGCTGCGTCCATGTCGGCATCCTGGCTCCAAACAGGAAACAAGATCTGACCGTGACGCGTCACAAACATGGGGAGGATGAGCTCAACACCAGTGAAGCACCGCTGCAGCACCGCCTTCTTCACCGAAGCTCTCTAAACGCTCAGACGTCGTGCTGCCTCGTGATGTTTCTGAATCGCTGTGGAGCAGAAGTTGTGATAGAAACAGCAGATAGAACACGTCTCACTCTGAAGAGTGGAAACGCAGGAGGCCTCCACCTCTCCTTCCTCCATCTGTGGTGTCATCCACCACTTCTCCTCTCCTCCGTCTGTCTCACCCCCTCACCCTAAACATCCATCCATCCCCCTCCTCAACCTAAACACGTGACGTCATGCATAACTCACCACCTCCCTCTGCCCATCTGTCGCCGCCTCCTCCTCCCTCCTCCTCCCTCCTCCTCCCGTCCAACATGTGTTTTCTATATAACGAGCTCGCCGAACGCCTCCTCGCTCTGCAGACACGTTTCTTTACACCTGTGGTCCTGCAGGCGTCCACGTATGTACGCATGTATGCTCGTGCATAAACAGGAAGTCGCCTCGCAGCAGTGCAGCGCTGCAGGGGTCCAGCGCCGATGGCCGCCTCGGCATCGACAGCTGACGGGGAGTTACAGCGAGGAACGGCAGAAGTGGCTGCACAACATCGCTTCAGCGTCGAATCATTCAGAATGGAGCTCATCGCTTCCTCAGAGGATTTCCTTTAGTGGGCAAAGTTTGACGATCAAGTCGAAGCTTCAAATCGTCATAAATCAAGATAAAAGACGGACTTTGTTGAAAATTGGAACAAATGTGAAGAAAAAACCTGTGATAATCAGAATCAGATTTATTGCCAGGTATAGTTTAAACAATAGGAGGAATTAGTTCTGGTGGGTTGGTGCCGGATAAAAATATAAAAATAGCTAAAAAAAATAAAAGCAACTGCAAATAAAAATAACTAGTCGTGCAAAGAGGTGCAGATCTACTGATATGTACATTCATACAGATCAGTCTCACTGCATGGACGTGGTGATAGAATGAGTTGTGTCTGTCCATGTCTGCATCATGGCTCCAAACAGAAAACATCCCACTGCTCACAAACATGGAAAAGATGAGCTGAAAGTGAGTCATCAGGAGGAGCTGATGCAGATCCAAAACCCGATCTTTGATCAGATGGAGTCCAGCATGAATCCACAGTGGAGGCATCGTCCTGACGGCGATGAACGGAGGATGTGGAGCTGCTCGATGCAAAAGGTGTGGCGGAGATGACATTTATAGATGAAGAGGAGGAATCATTACGCAGCACGATGAAGGCTCAGAATCACACAAAGGTTTCTGACGAAGAACGACGTGAAAACTCAGACCTGGTCCCGTACGACGTCCGGCCTGAATCCACTTTAAGTTTTGCTGTCGTGCTCAGATGTATTCGTCTCCTTCCACTAAAGAAAAGACAAAATCCACACCAGTCACTCAAATAACTAGAAACTGGAAAAAGTAATAAGAAATAAAAATTTGCTAAATTATAATTGAGTGAAATAAGACGTTGTTTTTGAATTGTGGTTGAAAACAATAATTTAAAAAAACACATCAGAAGTTCAGGAAACACCTGAACCTCAACTAAATATGAGTTTAAGGCTCCCATCATGTTTGTTTTTTATAATTCTGTTGAACCACAATTCAAAAGCAACGTCATGATTTTCATTACATTTTTATTTATTATTTTAACTTATTCCAGTGGCTGAAGCTGTGTTTTCCTTCTTTAATAGGCGGCTATGAACACATCTGAGGACTGTACGTTACTTTTGTTTTACGCTGCATCGATCGCTAACCTGCCTGCGACTTCCAACACCTCGTATATCACGTCCTGCTCGGCCTGCGAGTCTGAAACCCCGTTTCCAGAGCGTTCGTTTTCAAACCAGTCACCTGGAAGCATCACAGAGGCGCCAGCGCCGAGCTTCATTAGCCTAGCGAGCTGCAGCCATTAAAATCTGCCAGCGACTGGTTCAGCTGACAAAAGGAGTTGCTGACTTCTGATCCCACACTGGAGCCGAGAGCAGCACAAGTTTGAGAGACAAAAAGAAACCTTGAAGCTGAACTCTGTGCTGCTGGAGGAGAACATGTCTGAAGTTCCTCCAGGTTGCCCTCTTCATCGAGCCGCTTCCTGTTGCTCAGCTTCCAAACCGTCGCCGACCGGCCAGTCGTTTGTCTCCTCGGAGCATCCGTTTGTTCTGGGCGTTACGATAACAGCGCTTTGAGCCGCCTGTGGAGGCTTTTTATCTGAGCCTGAGGAGCCGATGGGCATCGATGTGCTCCGAACAGAACATCTGGTTCCACTTTGTGAGTGAATGAAGGTATTCTGAGCGACGCTTTATCACACAGCCTGCAAATGTGCCTCATTCAACACCTGCTTTCATTTGTTCACTCTTTTATTTTCTTAAGGAAGATGCTCAGGAATTCTCTGAAACAGCTGCAGGTTTTATCAGATGTGAACGATGAGGAGTAGATCTGGAGAAAGCCAACACACCACCACCACTGGGACACTTCATGGCTTTATTCTACGAGCCCCCGTTTAAATATAAGCTGTTAGTTTGAACCAGATTATGCAAAAACCTTTTAAAAAGAAGCTAACGGGGCTTTTCGGCTGAACTGCAGACGGATGGAAGACAAACAGAACGTCACCTTTCTTTTTCCTCCAGTATTAATAACAGCTGTGGGCATCGTCCAACATGTTGGACTCCATAAGTTTTTATATCAAGAAAACGTCCCGTCAGAGGGTTCATGTTTGTCCTAACTTGTCGAGCGCTCGAATCCCGGGGACATTAGATATGATTACATTTCACACACAGTTGTCATAATACGAGAATAAAAGTCCATCGTTTTTCTTCTACTGAGATTTGTTTTTATGCCTCTACCTGCTCTGAATTTTTGTCTGACGACCGTCGGTCACAGGGGAGTCGCTCAAGGCTTCACGGCTACG